CCTGTGCTTGCAATGACATCCTTTTTAGTAAATGGAATTATCATCCCTTGAAGTAAATGGGGAAGCCTCATATAGGAATTAGAGCTCTCACTCCTAGAAAGACTGGCTGATCATGGCAAATGCTTACTAACTTTATTCCTTGATTTCAGAAAGTGACTCATGACATGGACATGTGCTATGGGATGATGGGAAGCCTGTTCCGAAGTGGTTCCCGACAAACACTGTTCGCTAGTCAAGTGATGCGGTATGCAGATCTCTACGCAGCATCTTTCATCAACCTCTTATATTATCCTTTCAGTTACCTCTTCAGAGCTGCCCATGTGCTGGTAAGTTGAAACACAGATTTTCATTCCAGACATTTTTCTGAATCTTCAAGGCATAGAGCAAGGCATTCTCAACAGAAAAGAGATGTGACCTAATTTATCAGGTAGGGTGACATACACAGAAACCTTTAAATAAAATTGGCATTGCATACAGCAAAAGAAAAATGAAGCTAATCAGTTACTACACGATAAGTTACTAGACCAATCAGCCCTCTTTTTTGAAGTGATTTTTCTTTCTGAATTCTGGTGAGAAAGAGAGGCTTGGAGTACTGTGAAATCCTACTTTTAAGGAGCAGTTGCCCACTAAGACACATTAATTTGAAGCTGAATGTACCTACAGTATATTTGACTGATTCATATTAAACAAGGAAGCTACACAAGATGTAAGACCTACATCCATATTGCTGCATGACCAATAATGTATTTTGGGAAACACGTTGTAAGCAGTGTTGGCAATGGGCCAATTATAGCCCTCCATGAGGAAAAATCTCCTGTACAAGGAGTTCCTTGCCTGTAACTCTTTAATTTTGTTATGTCGGTAAATATTCACCCACTCTAGGTTGACAAACTCCTCCACAGGAGAGGCAGATTGTCCCCTGCTTTGTAGTGAAGTTATTTTGGTTCTGCCAAACATAAGCATCTTAACAAAATATTGCTGGATTTATTTGTTTTAATGCATTTCAATTTTTTAATGTATTATTTTCACTGTTGTCAGCTGCTTTATGGTCTTAAATAGAGATGAAAATACATGTTAGCGTTAGTGTCTGCATGTAATGCAGCTAATGAGTCACCTACCTTCTTGGAGAACTGAGGGAAAGATACTCTGTCTCCATTGCAGATGCCACACGAGTCAACAGTGGAGCACACCCACGTGGATATCAACGAGACTGAATCCCCAATGGCTACCCGTAACCGCACTTCAGTGGACTTCAAAGATTCCGACAAACGACATCAGCTCACCCGATCTGTTAGTGAGATTAAACCACCCAATCTCTTCCCTCAAACTCCCCAAGAGATAACACATTGCCATGATGAGGATGATGATGAGGAGGAGGAAGAAGAAGAGGAAGAATAGAAAATACTTACTGGCATAAAATGTGGCTATAGCAGGAATTGGCAGGAACTGACTCCCCCCAGGTGGGGATAAGAAGCAAGCAAACAAAAGCTCCTAATCAGGAGCCCTTTATCTTTAGCAAGCTTATTCCTTGCAGACCTATTCCAAATATACAAAGAATACGCTGGCTGAATTGAGACCACGTACAGATAGCCCAGACGCATTTCCCCTGCCCGTAGAGCATGGAAAGGAAGTATTCTCTACTGGTGCATTTCATTAAAATGGCCTCTCAGGCAGGAAGGCTTCCATGACCTGCAGTAATCACAGCAATCATCGTTCTTTGACCCTTTAGGGAGAGAGCCACCTATCTGTACTAAACGCTGTATGCATACGAATGGGAGTATGTTCAGGGTTCAGTCTGTTTGGTCAAGCACAGTCTTCTGGCCTCACTCTACTGCTACTGAGCTTCTACTTGTTTTTGTACTTTATGACTTAAGAAATGATATCATACCATCTGTTCTTGGATGTCTGATAGGTAGTTTCCTGTGGCTGAAATCTGAAAGCTTTTATCACTGATAGAGGCATGCGGTGCCTGTGTTCTGGGACCTTCTAAAACAGGTCCTTATGCCATGTGCTTGTTCTTTGCCCTTATTTCTGCTGAGGAGAGCTATGCTTTTTATGCTCAATTTTATGGGAAAAGGAAAAAAAAGGGGTGGTTATTTGGTATGTTTGCGTGGCCTTGAGGAAAACAAACGCTAGCACAGCCCAGACAAGGAAAATTACAACCTGAAAAAAGGAAGTTTCATTTGCACCTCTTTTCATTACCTTATTATTGCTAAAACTTTAGACTCTGTGTCAGAGTGAGATTCTGTTGTTCAGCTAGCAGCTACTCTGCTCACTCCTTCAGAGTTGGCCTCTGTGGCAGCATACGGTTCCAGAACCTTAACAAAAAAGAACGCCTTCAACAGGATGTCCTTATTGGGCCACTCTGTTTTTACCTCCATTCCAAGAATGAGAATCAATGAAGGTCTGCTTCATAATATTTGTAAATGGCTCTGAGGGCCTGGCTTGTTGTCCTGTTAATCAGTTCAGGCTGTTAAATTAAAGCACATTTCCTGCTAAATTACTCTCTAGTGCAAGGCTGTCTGGGTTTCTTTTTCATATAAATAAGCAGTTTCCTGAACTGTAACATATCTCTTACCATGCTGTGCCATTGGTGTATAGAAGACAGAAAAAAGGCCCTATTTTAAAATATTGGAATTTTTATTTTCAATCATTTAATAGTAATTATATTCCATTATTAAACACAGTGAATTGCAAATCAGCAGGAAAAGCTGGTATTGCTCTGACAGATCTGCAAATAAAAAAATTATGATATTTCATAAGCAGCAGCTTTTATGTGTTTCTGAAAAGATGCAAAAAATATGGATTCATCAGTGTAAGACTGGCTAACCAAAAGATTTACAAGCAAGTTTAAAGATATTATGTGAATAATATCTAATCCAAGGATAATAACCATTATGAAAAGGACAGATGTTTCAAGAAATATAAAGGAATTCTGGGAAATTTAACTCCCATCATCTATACCTGATTACATTCTGCTGTAACCTGATAGCAATAGTAGATAATTTGGACTTTGTCCAGAGATTAAAGGCTAGTCTTGGAATAGAGAATAATACCTGCAGCATAATGAGCCATGTACTATTAATGTAATCAGAACTGGGAAGAGACTGCCTATAGGCAACAGATCAAGGTGGTCTTAGATTTCCAACAACCCAATCTTAACCAATTACATTCCCCGCTGTTTTTTCCTGTTCCATGTTATTGTGGATTGCTGCCTTGTGAACAAGCACTTAGTTGCCCCGTCAATAATTTCACCATGATGTTGCAGTCATCTTGTCTTAGTTTGGAAAAAGAGCTTTTAACTGCTCTGGTGGTAAGTATAGTCAGTTCAACTACTACTTTTATTTCTGAAAGATATTTACAATGGTAGGCAAGCATTTCCAGCATCCCACTCAAATTTGTTCTTAACACTTTGACAGGAAGGAAGATGATCAAAAAGTGGGGAAATGCTAGAAAGTGGGATTTATGTCCAATAGTATCATATGCAGCAAAATAATTTAGATCCTCCAGAGTAGATTTGAGGGAATAAGAGGAAAAGAAAGAAAGAAAAAATCCCATTGTGGCAATGGAGGCTAAGTCCTATAACTTTAAACATAGCCCACTGTTTGTTCTGGTCTTAAATATAATTAACTTGTGCCCGATAGATTCCATCAATAAATCTGGATGCAGTGTTCAGTGCCTAAGGCATTCTGGTTGCCCAGAAAAACAGCTGCAGCAAAAATGGTCATTGCATCACATAAACCCTTCACTGAATGGTTAGGATCCTCCCATTTTGTTTCACTAGTAAAGATGATTGATGGATTGATTGACATGCCACCATGCCGTCTCAGTCATATGGAAAGAGTAGTAGAATTGAAGTGCAAATCAAGAAAATCAGGCACATTTTCTAATATTATGTATAGTTGTCACTAAGCATCATGTCCTATTTTTTGTATTCTTTCTCCAGTAAGCTCATACCCTATTGTATTAGTTTTCACTTTCTTTTAGGAGAAACCAGGAAACAAAATCCGTTTAAAGGGCTCTTACTTTGCAGCACAAATTCAGCCAGCAGCTCTTCTGTTAAAGCCACTATAAGTATTGGACATAGTATGAGTGAGGTATAGTTAAATCCCTATTCAGCTAGAGAGTTCACCAGACATCATGAGCCAATCACACAGAAACACATTTTAACTTACCCCAAAGACTGGTTGTGAGGATAGAAAATTAAAAATACGTTGTAGGGAGCTCCAAAATGTATTTAAAAGTTAATTAGACAAAATCTTATGGAGTTGTCACTCATACTCTGAATTTCAGGTTTCTTATTTTCTTGTCGGGCTGAATAAGATGGCACAAAAAGAGGACTTTGGCAGTATGAAGACCTTTTTTATCTTTGTTATCCACTGAGATATTTTAACGTTTGGCTGCTTTATTTGAGTGTGGAATCCTACTAACATTCAAGGATGACTGGCTTTAAAGTTGAGAAGGAGTCATTGTTCTTTGGTGTCTTATGAAGGAAAAAAACCCTAAATGTACAGAAACAACTCAAGTATATGGTTTATATTCATTAGATGAAATTTAAGCTTTAAATGAATACTGCGGGCATTTTTATCCAGATTAAAATAAACATAGTAAATGTCCTTATATAAGAAAATCCACCACCAGCATGTTCAGTACATAGAAACAAGGCACCTGATTGGGCACCAAAATTTTCCATGAATACTAGAAATAAGAATATCACACTAGGAGGGAAGGAAGGAAAATTTGGAGGGACAACTAGCTGTTCTTAATTTCATCCCAAAACTTTTTTTTTTTAAGTGTTTTTCTTCTACCTGAAAAGAAATACCAGCATAATGTTCTCTCCTTTTCTAGCTGGTGACTGTGACCATTAACAAGACTGCAAGTAACCATTCATGAACAACAAAGTCAAATCCTGACCAAAGACTTTCGGAAGTCACACATTCCTTCGGAAGAAGCCTTCCAAGCTACTTTTAGAAAATTACCATCTTGTCCTCTTATTTAAAAAAAAAAAAAAAAAGATGCATGGAATGGGAAAAAGCCACTTAAAGAAAGATCAACAGGAAAAACACATTTAACAGAAATAAACTGTTTTTCAATAAAATGGCAAAATATACAAATAAATCAAGTTCAAAATAAATAGAATAAATTGTCAACACCACTGCATAATGGTACACTCCACTGGGATCACAGATTATTTATGAATGTATACATTCCACTTGTGCTTTTTCAGAGATTATATAAACAGTCAGCCAATATGGAATACTATTAGGAGACCATTACCACTTAGAAGAGGGAGAATACATGATATAATACAACATTAAAGAGTATAGATATTTTGGAGTGCAGTAATACATGGAAACAGATTTTGTGAGGAACCTGTGCTTCACAAGATGATGTTGACTTCTTATCAAAGCATGGTCAGCTGTCAGCAATAATGTAAATTGAAATCCAATGCTTGGAACTTTACAACTTTGATTTAAAAGGTCTTGATACACTGTATTTACATGTACTGGAAATCTGTGCAGCATTTAGGAGAGAGAGAGAGAAAGATACAGTAACTGCATTGGAAAGCTTAGCCTGAGATACAGTTAAGTTTCAACTACTGAACAACCTTGAGTGTAGCTACAGTATTGTGGCACCTTATGTAGACATACAGATAAACATTTTTGTGAAAGAACACTCTGTAGACATCCAGATAAACCTCTGTGGAAAAAAATGATGTATGGAATTAAGAGCTCTAAGCCTAAGCCATGGCATTCCCCTGTGTTACCTTCTCCTGTATAATACCAGTTTAACTCCTAATCTTGGAAATTGCAATTGTGATAGTTCTTTTGTCAAATCCTCCAAATCCATGAACAAGTTTAGAGATACTACAATCTTTGACCAACCAATTAAGGAATCAATAGAGTGGTAGGATCAAACCAAGAGGAATTACATCTAAGAAATGACAGTAACTATAAAATGACTGATGTATGAAACAGTAAAAATAAGTGGAAGAAATGTACGTCACAAATAATGAACAGCTCTCAGAATATGCACCTTTTATTCTCTTTCAGTAACAGATCCTAGCCTCCCATTGTGGGATGCACTGTGAAAGACTGCCTTTGGTTGCAGCAGCATGTTATTAACAATAGCACAAATGTGCTACAGATACCCACCAAAAACTACACACTTCCCTTCTTCATCCATGAGCTAATCTAGACATAGGTTGTGCAAGAATGCACAATTACTCTGACTTCTAAGTGAAATAAGATAGAATTTCTAAGGTAAAAGGTCAGGTGAGAGAAGGCAAAACATCAAGAGGCTCACGCACTTTCTAGTACTTCATACATTTATAAGATAAATTATTTTTAATCCTATGTTCATTCTCCCATCTTCTGAATTCAAGGCTCATTGCTTTAATGCTAATTCAGTCTACACATTTATTCTAGAATTAACCAGAAGATGGTTTAGTATCACTTACTTTATCAAAAGATAAGTCATTGCAGCATTGCTACAGCAGCTAGACAGGCACTTCAGTGGAAATAATGCTAACTGCCAGCAGTATGATAACAAAAGGATACAGAAAGCACATGGATCTTAACTGGTTGCCTATTGCAATGGCCTTTTACGCATATTACAGAAATGAAATGAACCTAAACCAGCAAGCCTGCAAATTCACTCTATTCTAATCTAATTCCGTCTGCACAGCTACTTGTGGCAAAGGCTGTCTTGGGGATTGGTCTCGCAGGAACAGAAGTTGAGATTATGAAGCTTTTCATGGTGCATAATCCAAAGGTGGCAAAACAAGGAATCACTGACACAGAAAGTTCAATGCAACAAAATAATGTTTTGCCAGTTTGTAGTCGTCATGTGAAGATGCCACATTCTAAAGATCACAGGAGATGCTGTACAGAATCCAAGGACTGAAACAAATGTGCTTTAATTTATGGACATTTTTTTCTTCCATAGTAAGCTGGAGGAGGGGGGAGTATCTGGTAGTTTAAATAAATAAATAAATAAATAAATAAGAAAGCAAGCAGGCAGGCTTAAAGGCAAAAGTATTTTTAAAAAACCATTAAAATCTAATCTTATCCCCTAAATACGAACACAGATTAACCAGAGGTTTTCACACAGAGATGTAAACATGATTTTAACTGGATATTAGAACAATGCATGAATGTGCCTTGTTGTTCATATGCTGTCTAGTTCAGTCAAGAAAGTCCAAGTGTTCAAGCTTTGTTCAGACTACTACCACCACGACCACCCCACCAATTTAGTAAATGTCTGAAAATGGAATTAGGCCTTTCTTGCTTGCCAGTTGCCTTTGTTGCCACATCAAAATAGAAAAATATACATTTAATCATTTGTTGGAAATGTACAGCCATTTTGACATGCTGGCCTAATCATAGCTATCAAGTATTAAGAGGTAAATGCTTCTGAAATGTTTTCAAAGAATTCTTTATTACATTTACCTGAGGGACAAAGCATACATGTGTCTCAGAGGTGGGCCTAGTGATATTGCCTTTGTCTTATCAGCCCTTAGCATAAAACATAACGTTAATTATTTGTGGGATTCCATCTGCACTGTTAATTGCCAAATTACATCTCTATACTACCTTTGAGAATAATTCACACAAAAACCACCATGTGAGAGTTGCTCAAAATTACAGAATTGCTGGTGTATATGAAGTAGTTTATTGCCACAAGCAGCCACAACCATGCGGCTGTGGCTTCTGCATAAACACAGCTCACTTCATGGAACAGCCATCCCTACAATTTCAAAGTAGTCACCAGACACTTGCTTTTACAGGTAAAATGGCACCTAGTCATTATATAGGGCACCTCAACATGATCAGAAAGATCAGACAGAGCATCAAAGTAGGAAAAAAGTGTCTTGGTGACTGTTGGGTCAACTGACATTTTTATTGCTGGATACTATACTACCTGTTTCCTAAGTATGCCAGAGTGGTTTTTGCAGGACAGTGAAAAATTGGCCAGGAGCATTATCCACCATGCTACCACCAACCTACAGAACTTCTTCCTGTAATAAAGGTATACAATCTCTGTGCACAACTTGGTAAATTTAGAGCAGTCATGGATGAAGAGAATGAAAAAGAATTGTAACTTTCAAGTGCCATTTCTTCACATGCCAGAAGGATTAAGATGCTGCTATATTTCATTTTTCTAAAGAAAAAGATGCACTCTACAAAGCAGGGGAGGTGGGGTACAGGGGGAAAAAAGTGGATGACTAATGCCAATTATGTATCAAAAAATAAAAAGGATTACATACTCAGGTTATATTGCTCTTTGCTTTCATAAATGCCAGCTGATTTCACAGCATATCCCAATAACCTTGAAAATTAACCTTGGGATTTGCTGCTTCAGAGAAAGCATACACAATATTTTTGGAAATTAATTATGCAAGAGTATATAATTTGATTTACTGCAGTTCATTCTTCATTTACTAAGCCCTAATTTTCAGCCACACATGGATTATTAGTACTTACATAGTCCCTATTTTTTAAAATTGGGCATTTAGGTAGCCGGTTAAGATCACTGAAACTTTGCAAATCTTCCGCACTCATAGTTTGCAGGCTTAGAAATGGAAACACTTGGGGCTAATTGCAACCCCCAAATGAGGTCTTCATGATACTCATGTTCGATGAGACATTACCTCACAGAAAAAACATTTCAAGAAATAATTATCGTTTTATGAAGACTTAGCAATGTATTGTCCTAAAAAGTATAAGGCATTCACATTAGTAAGTGCAAAACTAATTCACAGGCATTTGAAGAACTATTGTAAAAAAGAAACACACACACACTTGGTTCAAAGGACTATATATCTATAAGACTATACAAAAGCTTAATGACCATTGCTGGCTACTGAATCCCAGAATGAAGAAACAATATGACTAGCTGGGATAAAAATGCAAGGAGCATTTCTATCAAAATCTGAATACTTGATGCAGATTCCAAACTTCTCCAGCCTTCTGGTATTTGAATGGGAAAGGATCCAAACATTCCATTCTAAGGTGACAGTGAAAGTCACATTACTTACCAAAATATATTTGGATATTTTAAAAAACTGCTAAAATGATTGACGTAATACATGAAAAGCAGAATTTAAATAATTTGAGCAATGTTCCTAAAGACATGACTAAATTCAGATAATCCAGTGGATGTTAATTTTATATATTACATTTTAATACATGTTGGAATCTCAAACTTATGAACAGGGGAGGAGACCACTCATCAGAAAGTAAAATCCAGCTGTGATGCAGATATTGACAGAGCAAATACCAAGAAGTCAACTTTCAAAATGCTACCTCTCACTTTGTTCTGAGAGCACATTTATCTTGACATTGGCTGGGGGCCTTAAAGAATACAAATCTCTTCCATACCACAATTTTTTTCAGGGATAGAGATCACTCTTGAAAATCTAGACTCTGGAATACTTTGTCCTTCAACTATATATGCTGATTGGTAATAATTACAAAAAATTATATACACCTCTAAAATATTTAGGAAGTTCTATAAAATCTTTTCATGACAAACCAGCATAATCATTTGGATATAATCAGTTTGAACAATTCAGTATGTGTTACGGGGAACAAAATATGAAAAGAGATACATGAAATACAGGCACAAAAACAGTTAAGAATCTATCTGTCATAACAGGCCAGATTATAATGTATCATTTTCAATAGCACATTACATTAGAAAATTCAACATCTAAAGGCATAGCATTTTGCAGCCTCTAAGAAGTTTGTCTGCATTTCATGACAAGCCTGAAGAAATTAATAGGTTAAAAATATTATGCTAGTAAAAGGAAAGTTTCAAAATGTCAATCCTACTCAATGATATACTGTAGCTTGCATGGAGAAGTCTCTATTGTGCTTCATGGGAACTCAAAAATTCTTGTGGGTAACAATGAAAAAAAAGCAGCTGTTTCACATTTACAGATTAAACTGCCGAATAAGAATCACAACCTAAAATAGAATAAACTTCACTTACGTGCACCAGCTGTTTGGGAGGGGTTAGGATATTTGCATAAGCAGAGCTACAGAGAATTTACATAAGGTTCATCTCAAGTTTGCAAGGAACCAATTCCCCATCTGGAAAGTATCCCTATAAATTCAGGGTTCCAGCATGAAGAATGAAAAAAAATAATTAAGGCTTAGGAGGTACTGTGGCTAACATATTCTGGAGGTCAGCCCAGATGCTATTCTGCAGAATAGAACCTTTTATCCATATATTAATACTGGATTTCACTGTTGTATTTCTTATAAGCAATGGGAATGGCACAGGCAACTCAGGGTCTCAGCAGTGTCAAATGAGGTTGTTTAAATACATAACTGCAAGGCATTCCTCAGGGAATGCTCCCCAAATACTCCAAAGTAAATTGCAACTTCCTGAGGTATGGGATGTTCTTCAGGGAACATCCTGAAGATATTACTTATTTTTCATGCCCAAGTGTTCATGAAAATTCTGCCCCATACAGCCGATTAAGAACTGAAGGTTAAGAAGAGGACTTCTAAAGAAAGCATGTATGGAAAAACAGAAATTCTCTCCCAGTTGTTGAAACATATCCCATCTCTTTTCTTCCTGCCCCCTAGCCTAGACTCCCCTAATACAAACTGACTTTATCTTAAAAGATACTTGTAAAATCTAAGAGAACAGGGTGGCCCAGCAGCATCCACAGTTCTAAGAACAGAGCCTTTGGGAAGATTGACTTTGGCTATCAGCATAGCAGCATTTTTAAACAACAAAAGATTCAGACCTATCTTAACATACCTTTCTTGAATTACAAGCTCTTTGCTGAAAGTAAAGGGCAGCATGACTGACAGTACATCAGACTCTGAAAATACCCCAAAGTTTAGACATGCACTCAGCAAAGGAGAAGCAGCAGAAATTGCCACTGATCTCCCAAATAAATAAAATACTATGTGCAATTTTCCAGGACACAAATACTATCTCTGAAAATCAAATCCTCTTTTTTTCATATGGTGCCCACCTATTTTCCACTCTTCCTGATCTCAAAACTATGGCCTCTTAAATGGCATGTCCACATGCACAATCCAGAAAGATTAACCAGAGGGGCCGCTCGCTTTTCTCCAGTCTCTCAAGAGCAACCTGTGAGAAGTTCTTTAAGGATCATTCATATTTTTTCCCCAAGCCAATACATTCTAATACCCTTTTGTCATTTTAACTAAGGGGAAAAACAATAAACAAAAGATGGGACCATTGGGATACAGTCACAAACAATACAGTAGAGTTTAACTGGAAATATCCTGCAATATTTACAACTGCAAAATATTTTTTTTAAAAAGAATCATGATATTGCTTGAAAAATAAACCACAGCTGCTTTAACTTTTCAGCACATATTTAGAAGGTTCACCAATATAACTGGAAAAATAGACCTGATTCTGCTCCACTTGGAATAATGTTGCCATTTGTCCCAGAAGGATGCCTCATTGCTCCCAAGCTTTGCTTAGGTGTTTGCTCCTTTTTTTCCTTCTGTGCTCTCATTCTCTGAGTTCCCCTTTCTTCCCAGTTTTGTTTCCTGCTCCCAGGATGTCTTTGGTCTCAGAGCACTGGGTGCAGCACAGCTTTATAAGCACAAGATAATGGTGGTCGCAGTCAGGGAGAAGGCAAAGGATAAGGATGAGGACTAGTCCTGGTGAATTGGGGATGAGGATGGAAAGCAGAGAAAGAGGATGAAGCCGTGTGACAATTCCTAGATGGTACCTTCATTATGCATACTGTGGTTGGACTTGTTGTGAGTTACACAGTTCTGTTCATTCAGTAGATTTGCCATCTCATCCGGCAAACCATCATGCAGTTCTGTAAGAGTCAGTTCTATTTTAGTGGTTTCACTGTCTGAGGACTGAGGTGTTTTATCCATTCGAGATGCCATTAGGGCATTTTGGTATTGCTGTCTTGAAATCTATACCAAGCACATTAAAAGATACAAAAAAGTTCACAATTAATATTCTCTTTGATGCTGCTAGCATTAAGAGATTCATAAATCATAACTTGCCTTTATTGAAAATAAGTAATATAATAACTGTTCTATAAATGTTGAATTCCAGGACAGTTTGGGATCATTTAGAATACATTTCCTTTTAGTCAAGGCAGAATGGATGGCACCCATTCTAGCATCCACAATGTTCCAGTCCCATCTATTGCTCCAGAGCCCAGTCATGTTGCAAATTCCACCTGAGTTTCCCTCTCTCTCACCCCTAGCGTTGTACAATCATGTCTCTGTAAGTATCTTAGCTAGCTGACTGGCTTAACTGTTTTCAGTCTGAAAAAGACCATATGTTTCTTTCTGAGTCAAACCTCCAACAATCAGATCCTCAGATTCAGGCAGGAGCATCGTTATTCCTGATCAGCTCTCCTTTGTGATCCAGAAAACCTAAATTTGTCAGAAATTTGCTATGGCTGTTCCTCATGCAAAGAGCCACTTTCACTGTAAATTTCATAGTATTTTGTCTACAACCAAAACAGTTACAACTTTTTTTTAAAGAAAAGCAGATTTTAAAGAATCTTAACTTGAAAATCTCAATACCCATTTCTATGTAATATGCTGATATCATCCTATCCTAATAATACATTTCATCTTGCTCTGAAGAAAAGCAATATTTACTTATTTATTTAACTTTAAAAAACCAGATTGTAAAGAAGTTATATTTGAAAACATCTTCAATGATTTTAATGAAAACTAGCATACCCTCATAATCATCTTATTCAAATTAATACAAAGTGAGATCTCTCTCACATATAATTATGTTTTATTATGGCACAAACAGTAGAACTATTTATTTCTGAATATTCAACATTTGTTAGAATAAATGACAGTTGCAGTCTATGAATACTAATTAAAACATTTACTCCCTCAATATGGAGAAACTATAGGTGACTGGAAGCACTTATTCCTTCAAATAACATTCATAGCGCTTTAAAGAAGAAAAGCAGGATAAAAACATGTTAAATACAATTCAATAAATAGAATCATAAATTTGACCAGCCCATAGAAATCATCTAGGCAAACTCTTTGCTTAGTGCGGAGTCTGCAATGCAGGTTATCACTTTAATGCAAGATGTTGTTTTCCACTTCCTATCAGTCTGCTCCATTTTTAAAAAGTGCTTGTACAGTTTTAAACAAAAATGTTGTACTTCAAACTGGACATAATATTCCAAATGCAGATATATTCAGGCAGTTATCCACCTTAGACATCAGATTTTTTTCACAACTACTGTATTTACCCAAAAAATAACCCTGAATTTAAAATGACCTATGCTTCCTCAAAAAAGAGACTATATATATATATATATACACACACACACACAAACACAGAGCAAAAAAACGTGCACAATGCCCAACTCCACATCTAATTGCTGACTCCATCTGAAACCAATTTTGGAGATTTCCAAATGAGTTCAGAAAATCAGAAGTCTGGTAGCGCCTTTTCCAATTAACAGATTTTATTAAAAGGTATAAGCTTTTGTGAGCTAGAGTTCACTTCACTAGATGAGATTCTACCAGACTCCATTTTTGTGCCACCATGACTAACACAACTCTCCTCCTACAATGTCTACAACAAGCACCAAATGAGTTCACATATCACACACTTATGTCTATATGTACAAAAGGGTGGGATCAGGAGGAAAAAAAGGATTAACTGAACAACTGCAAATTATTATTAATAAGGTATACAATTTATAAAATTAATTGATTCTGTGTTTGCACATATTCTTTTTCCTGCTTACAAACCACTTTCCCAGAGTAACTCACAAGTGCATGCACACAGATGTTCATATTCTTTTCTTCCTTTCAGCAGAATCATCAAAAAGAAGGAAAATACAGACATGCACACACAGAATGGAAATTGGATGAGGAATAGATGTACCTATAAAGGAAGGAAAGAAGGAGAATGGAAGGAACAAAACTGGATGAAGACAAGGTGAAGAAGGTTTATACCCAGAAAGAAAAGAGAAAGAGAAGCCCTGTTTGGACTTTAAAGAAAAGGTTAAATCAATTAGGCAAGCAGCCCCTCCAAAGCAAGGGGCTAATAGCGCTCCATGGTATCAACCCTTTTTAGCAGGAACCTCTGTAATCATCTGTACTATCTCCTATCCACTAAGTTGTATTCAATAGCTTCTTCTATTGTTATTAGTGGTCTGAAATGACACCCTCAATTTACATTTGGGGAAAAGCCTGATAGTTTATCAAAAACAATCCAGTCTCCCCCATGTAATACTTACATCTTTGATTTTTTGTTAATAAATAAAAAACTCAGCTACATTCTGTTAGCTTCAGTCCTGTGTGCTGACTTGTCAAGAAACTTTTATAATAATTGTTATACCTTATAGCTCTGTGTCATCCACAACCCAACCTGAACACCTGTACTTAAAACATTTACTAACAAGTTAAATCAGAGTAATCTTCCCTAACATTGGTGCCCACTATATATGTACATTTCAACTATTAGAAATTCCCTTTTAGAATGCCCATTACTATGAATACTGGGAGCTGAAGTCCACATATTTGATAGGCACCAGGTTGGGAAAGCTGGTATAGAACCAATAGGGAAAGACCTGTGGCCTTCTGCTTAAAAATCTCTGTTCAAATAAAACCAGTGCTGTTAACAAGAATGACTGCTTAATCAGCTGTGGATCCACCTGACAGCTTTATCATCCAATCCATATTTTTACTATCCTCACCTGGGATATGGTGGGAAACTTGCCAAATGCTTTGCTGAAATAATTTTTCATTGCATTCTCATTATTTAAAAAAACAAGGCACATTTGTATAATGATTATAAGTTGGCTGTTCTTGGATCTGCCTTTCTCACCTTAAAAATGTGGACAGCATTTGTTCAGTCTTCTGATACCTTACCCATTTCCAAGATTTCCCAGTACTGCAAATCTAAATTTTGTTCTCATGTTGTTATACACCTGTAATTTCTCATTTTTAATATGCTAGTGATATCAGATCAAGCGGTGAGGACACTTTCCAGCAGTGAGAATGAGTAAATAGAAAATGATCAAAGCTACTTTTCTGTCTCTGTTACTCACATTCTCACACATAATACATATCCATCCATCCCATCCACATTCATAATTGTCCAAATCATTAGCAACATTTAAAAGATGCCTTTAAAGTATGAAACATCCAGAAATCAAACAATTTGGAAACAGAATTACATATGAAGAGACAAACACAGGGTTTCCAGCTCTGCTATTAAGTGGCTAGAAAGTATTTGCAGGAAAGAACAGGCAGGTGGAAGTAGGGTCAACAGGAGGATTTGTTTAACCTCTATTGATTCTTCCCAACAATAGCTCTCAAATTACCATTAGCTGAGCAAAATTCATTGTAGAAATGCTCATTTATGAAATTAGAGTTTAGCTCTTCCCTAAAAGAAGTAGAAGATCACTTCTAAACAGATAAAATAATGAGCTTCTGCATCTGAAAAAATTCTTTCCAAATATTGGGTGTTTTATCACAGCAGAATTAGAACTGACTGACAATCAAGAGTTTATGGACAGCCTATATTTCCAGACTATACCCTACAGGTAGAAGATCCATTTTTTTTCCTTTCTTACCTTGACATATTGAATGTCTGAGATTGCTCTCACTGAGTAATCTGGAACATATACTTGAACAAATGAGGAGTTCAACTGATTGTTGCTATTCCCTATTGTTGGTGTCATGGCATCAATGCGATCTCCTCTGTTAAGAGAATCTGAATGATTTAAGCCACAAGTACGAGGTGGTGACTTATTTTCAGCTGGAAAAAAAGAAAAGAAAAAAAAGTATGTTTAAGAATACAATTTAAATCCTAAAGACTAACATCAGTTCATGGGATAGACTGAAGGCTGCTTGAGATAATTGGCAAGTTACTTGAATTTAAATTCATGAAGCTAATTCAGCAAACAAATAATGTAAATGTGGGTCCTTTGTTTAAGTTTTCTTGTTCAGTCTCCAAAACTATTTTGAACACAAATGAACACAAACAGCATTCAAATTCACAATAAAATATATAAAAATATTAATTTAATATATAAAAATATATAAAACTCACAAGTAAATGTCTGATGCTCATAAAACCTTTGGGGAACTAGGAAATTTTTCCACAGCACTATCAGAAAATAATATATCCCAAGTTATAAGAGAAATTAAAAGGATTATGCATAAGACTAGTATAAGTCAATGAAAGAAAAAATGAAAGCCTGATCAAAGTTTCTAAATTAAACCTTAATTTTCAATTTATAGATGTTCTAAGAGAAACTAATAATGTTTCTCAGTTTTCAACTAAGCGATCATATTCTGTTGTTAATTAATATTGCACCAGCCAAAACCCATACCACAGTGTAGTTAAGATTATTCCCCAATCTTTTCTGTTCTGTACCAATTAAAGCCAATCCCTATGCTATATTTGCTGTTTCAAGTTCAAAACTGTTTGTAGGAAGGAGGTCAGGAAAAAAAAGCTCAGGAATATATTGTCACATAATTACTGAAGCCTGGCAAAGTTATCAGAATATTTTAGCAGTGTTTAATTATCTTAGATATCTGAACACCCACAGCGGAATGGAACTTAATTGTGGTTATTTTAAATGCTTTTCTGTGGATTACAGGAAGAACACCTCAGCATATCACAGTGAAGACATCTGCAAAAATAATAACAGACAACAAAAGAACTGCAACTGACAACAGATAAATAGGTGTTCAATATAGATACAATCCTATTTCAATTAATATCCCTCCCTCACCCAAGATAGTTAAGGCAGAGTCAATTTAAGTTTTCTTCTTGACCTGGGCTTAAATCAATTTCCATCACATAGTTTCATCAAGGTCATCTCTGTGGTTCCTTATATCCACTAATTATTTTATTTCCTGCTATCAGCTATCTAGGGGCACCTACTCTTTCCATCTGCTACAGCAGTTGTCAGTCCCCCTGCTCACCTCTTCCAACATATCTGTCTTGCCAAGACTGCTCTCTCATTCATCACTCAGTCACATACCATAGAACAGCTTCACAATGGCAGCTGCAGCTTTGGGGCATACCTGTACTGACTATGACCATATCAATAGCAGAGCTCTTCCTTTTCACTGCTACTCACTTGTCTCTGCCAATTGCCAGCTTCTAGTCACCTGTCTACCACTCCAGGCCAGTCCTTCCTTAAACTAACTAACTAACTAACTAACTAACTAACTAACTAACTAACTAACTTCCTTTTCTCATATTCCATTTCCTTTCTTTCACCCAGCTCTCCCTTGTTCTTCCCTAATCACTCTTAGAGTAATATTCCACAGTCTATAATCTGCACTTATACCTCATCCACTAATCACACATATAAATTTAATCCTACCAATCTATTATCTAATACCAGTAGTGGAAAATATGTGTAGCCCACAATTGGAATGGTGGGATCTTGCTGTTGGTGGAGCTTGATTTTCTTTTTGCAAAAGTTTCATTACCAAACTAGGTAATATCACCCATCAGTTACTATGCTACCTAGTTTGGTAATAAACATTTGCAAGAAGAAAACCAAGCTCAGAGAACACCAAGATCCCAACTATTATCTAGTCCAATAACAAAACAAATCCAAAAAACTCCTGCACACTAATGGTGTGTTGCTGTGTGTGCTTAAAAAAAAAACCCAACAAATTTGCTGAGGCCACCTGGTTAGTCAGAACTACCCTAAAACCAGGCTCTCACATCAACTGTTGTGTAAGGCATTGAGCAAGTACCATTCTAGTGTGCCTTACTATTGCTGATCATGCTTCAGTTGAGCTCATTAGAAAATAATGAAAAGACTAAGATGGCTACAAACTAAGAAAGAAAAGAAAAAAAGATCTACCTTATATTTTATACTTATTGTTTCATTAAATAATGAAAAGACTAAGATGGCTGCAAACATTATGGCTGGCTAAGACAGATGTTATAAACTCCCACAGATGATAGCACATCAGACCTGGCATCATGAAAAAGACAGACCAAGACAACAGCTGTATTCCTACTTAACAATAAGCCAGAATTCTGACTAATCCTAGCTTATTGTTCACAAACAGTATGCTTATGGAAACTGGTTGTTCAGCAATAAGAGTAGTTAAAGAAATGAGGAACTAATAGGGAGAAAGTTTAGTATCTGCATCAAGGCTCTCAGATAATTTCTCCCCTAATATATCAAACACAGGAAATCAATCATTAAACCAATCTCCAAAAATAATTAAATTATAGGAAAGGTTGCCAATTCCTACAAATAAGAAAAGTAGATTTTAAGTGTCAAACGTCTACTTTGATTATAATAGTACAGAAGCCAGAGACCCAGAGCTGGAAAACCAGGAGGGCTAAGGGCTTCACGGCTGACACAGAAAGAAGGCAAGGCAGTGGCTGAAGGCATTCTAAGAAACAAGAAAACCTAGTCAGAGAAAAAGCTGAGTGGAAACAAGATATTAGAATTAATGACCTGGGCAGTGAGAGAGGTTTGCCCATCCAAACTAATATAGGATATTATTTTACATTGACTCAGGCTATTGATTGATCTAGCTCAGCCCTGTCAGTATTTAGGTATTTTAAGATTTCAGGCAGGAAATTTTCCAGCACCACCTGGATTGGACTGAACCTATGACCTCCTGCATGTGCTCTACCACTGAGCTACGTCTGCTTCTATAACCAGTATCCATAGCTGCAAAAGACCTAAATTTGAGATACTGAGTTTTCAGTTCACTGGCTTTTAAAGGACGTTTTGGCAGTGTTTGCAAATGTGGCTGCTATGATCTTCATCAAATATAGCAAATTAGAGACTGTGACAGAATGGTTCAGGGAGTATAGTAGTTCATTCATGACATTTTTTGAATGAAATGACCTAAAGGGGACAACATACAGACCATTTTAAAAGGATTCCTCCCTTTTTTGTTGCTTCGCTCCACATGGAAAACACCACTCAGCATACAAGACTGTCTGGAGTCAATGTTCCTACTCTTCCTAGAGCTTTTAGAAGATTTAAGTCTATATATTTTCATATACAGGACTTGACACAATCTATAGCAGTGGAACAATCTATATATTCTGCATAACTTTAAATATATGCTTAGTTCTCGGTGGTATTTTTAAAGATGTGGGAAATGTTAACTGTCAAGGAAGAAGTTTCCATGACCTAATAAACTTCAAGACACAATTTGTTTTTATTTCAATATCCACTGTTATTATCTAATCAGAAATGTAAACTCAGGGCACCCACCTGGTTAGACACAAACCCTTTTTTTTCTAAATCAAAAAAAGTGATATGCGGTAAATATAAACTGTTGCTAATTAGATATAGGGTAAGTGCAATTTACCACAGAGCTACAAAAGAAGCAAGCGCGTTTACCTGGAGTACCTGCTGCTAGTAACTCTGTTCTGCTGACAACAAAGGTACGAGACAGGGACAAAGGAACTAAATGAGAAGGGAAAAAAAGAGATGAAACCAGAATCAGAGAAGACACTAATATCTATAATCAATAAAGAGATAATCAGTTTCCTCATGGTGGAGAAATCAAGTGCAATTAAAATGTAAGTAAAGGCCATAAAGAGAACAATGAAAAACTGGTTGGAAAATAAACTATAATAACATTTAGGAAATCAGATGTCATCAAACAATACATGCTTCTTTCTTAGTTACTTTAATAGTTCAACATTCTCTGAATTTGGAAATAAAGTTCTGTTAATGTTTTTAGAGTATCCTTACTAACCACAGAAGTTAGAGATATACAGTAGAAGATATCATCATAGGCTGTTTAAAGGAAGTAACTGTTCCATAAACACATGCATTTTGTATCTTTGTGTTACAATATAAGTAATAAGCACAGCTCATCCCCTTATTCAAATAGACCATAAAAAATGAGCCTTGCAAAAAATGAAAATAAGAGATCATTTTGCTATCTTTTTTCAGATAAGAAATAGCATTTATTTCTGTATAATCTTTTGCTGTCAACAAGTACAGCAACTACATAGTCTTTTAATCCTACCCCAAGAATTCCAGATTATACCAGATGTGATAGTAAATACCCAGCTTGATGGAAGTTTGGGAGGGAGGGAGGGAGATTAAACAGTTACTTCCCTAATATCAACCCGCACAGAAATCCAGCATGCAATTTTTTTCACCTTGTTGTAAAAGAAGAGGAGTCATTCCAACAAAGGAAGTGATCAAATAGTATCTGGAAGAGGAATTTGTTCCTTCAAAAGTAGGTACGTGGAGAAAGGTAGGAGAGCAGGACAATGCCAATATGTGCTAATAAATACTTCTAAAGTTGAACATATTGCTATCAAAAGCACCAGCAATGGTTTTCCAGTAAAACTGGTACAAAGATGAGGCCAAAGCAGAAATTCAGAGCTTGCCCCATTTGCCATTTACTCCTGGTCTGATATAACAAAAATAAATTCTGCTGCATCTGACTGGGTAGCTAGAAACCTAGCTCTAAGGAGAGAAAAAAATAAATCTCTATAGGGTTTTTTTAACCTACTCAGACTATACTATTGAAACAGCTGCACCGCAAGTACTTCAGGATAAAAACAATTCCCCCTCCCCCCAACAAATGCGTAGTAGATAAAGGTATAATATTTAACTCTAGAAAGTGATAGAAACAAGCTTTGTTATAGAGACACAGCTATGAACTGATAATATACTCCGGCCATGACTCCCAAAAATCTAAGTTTTAACAAATCCATTTATCAGCTACTAAAAGTGAGGATCAAAATCAATTATCATCGCCAAACAATTGTGTTCCTTGTTGAATGAAAATTTGGCATTTATTTTGCAAACATCAGCTAAATAGCATTCCATCTGTATTTGGATGGACTATATTTCAATCTGCTACCAAAAAATAACTGAGATGAACTGTCTTTATGAGTTTTTAAAGCAGAAACAATTATTTTATTATCAGATTTTCACTAAATAGCATTTCTAGGTACTATGCTACTTTCTTGCCAATAAACATTTAATAATATGATTTGGTTTAAGAATGCCTCCATGTTGAGTTGTTTATGCTAACAAAGTGTGTCATCCATTCCTCTTAATAACAGCAGTTTCTTATGGAGATCTTTTGAAATTACCTGGTGAAGCCGTGAGAGCCATAACTCCATAGTAAGAGAAAGCACCAGCTTCAAACTTCATTCCTTCTTTCCCAGCTTCCACTTCTACTTTTCCCTGCAGAGAAAAAGAAAGATAATGTTCCTGTGGAGTTCAGAAACATTCAGAATTAGAAGTAATGCTGGTCCCTTAGCCAGATCCATTAACTTCATTCTCCATAGCAATCATTTATTCTTTTTCAAAAATAGTTTTTCTTTTTCACATTTTCCAACTATAACTAGTTTACCTTAATTATTCCAGAGGCTGTATTTCTCAATTATATACTGATAATTGAACATAAAAGGTTTTTAACAAAGGAATAAACAGTTCTGTCAATGAATTAAATAGTTTCTCTGTGCATCACAGTGCCATATGTAATTCCCAATAACATTTGATGGAATACTTTATGCTTCTTCTTGTAGTATATAACTCTCTATTCCCCTCTGTAGTTTCCTAATGTTATCTTAAATGCAAGGCAAGCAAGCTTTAGAGGATCAGTTTAGTTGCCTGAACTAAAGCTAATTGATGGTGAAAGTGGAAGAAAATGGTAAGTAGAATGTAAACTATCAGAGCAGAAGACAGATACCAAAATCAGTAAACGAGTATTGTTTCTTTAAGAATCTCAAGCTCTATACAGGATCAAGGTGTTATTTTTGTTCTGTGTAATTGTTCAACACTTACGGTACATGTCAAAAGTAACTGGTATTTATAATTCTAATGCTTTGCATGCTTCACAAACTTCCAAATTAATTAGCAGCATAGAGAAATGGAAATTTTGGAAGCAGTTGCAACTTGATGCTTCATGGTTAGTCCACAGTGAGAATGGCCACTGTTTCTTCCCAAAAGGAACCCAGGGCTGGTTCATGAAGTCTAAAAAGAAAAGTTTGTTATGATGGGAAGAGCTCAACGTTTAATTTTTGGTCCTCTTACAGGTGGCCAACTTCACCAAAGACAATTGGGGACTTGGGGGAAAAAGGGTGGATTAAAAACAAGCAAAACAAAAGTAGGAATATACCCTTGTTTATCAGGAATTGGAAAAAAATGTTAACTAAGGAAGAGGGAAAAAAAACAGTAGAACTCAACCACAGGAAACAGTTCCTATTCTGCTACTATCATGTCTGCAACAAAGTGCTTTCCTCGCTTGAGTTGGGAGGAAAATCTTCCAATGCATTGCTTTTACAGCCTACTTTTGCTATGCCTCAGTAGCACAGCCAACACACACACATTCCAATTTGAGAAGCTTGGTTTCTGTGCTGACCTTTCCCCTCCCACCCACTGTCATCGACTAACAGGAAAAACCAACCACCAACTGCTCCCCTCAATATGTGATAGGGCAAGGTTTGGCTGTTCAGTTCTATATTGCTTAATTCTGACCTACTTTACTACTAGACCTTCACTGCACTAGTGACAGAACTGTAAATAAACAGTTTATTTATAGTTCTGGCAGTCACATGATTTCCAGCCCCTGGAGGAAGAAAAGTACCACTTTAAAAGTGAGAACTTGTGCATGATGGAGGTCAGGGGCTCTCACAGAAGGGCTGAGAGCTTCCTCCAGCTGAGAGCTGTCAGCAGTGCAGTGCTTCTCCTCCTTGTTGGGGCCCTGGCCAGAGGATAAGATCTGAATAGCTTTCTCTCCTTCCACCTATGGGTATTAGCAGAGATGAATGCTTCCGAAATGGAGCAAGGGTTTTACAGACGTAAAAAGGTAAGACTCACCACTTCAAACATTCTTCCTATTTGGAAAACTGAAATGATGTTTCCATCTGACATTTCCCACCCCCATCATTCTTAAGCTGTTGTTCCTATGCACACATCCTTTAGGAAATACCCCTACTGAATGCATGGGCCTTACTTCAGAATAAATACACCCAGATCAGCACTGCCTCTTTATTTACCAGAGAGTCAAATCTCAAGGAATGCAACCAATGGAATGATCAACCTCACATTTATTGGCTGGGGGGAGGAACGTATATTTTAGAATGCTTCTCAATGCAGATCCCTCTCTATATACAGACACAAACACATGCATGCATATGCATACCTACAAGCACACAGTTTCACATTTAACTTGCTCTGCAGCCACACATTCCCTCACCTCATCTGCAAACAGGAAGAAAAGTTGCTGGCTGAAATTCTGCCTTTTTTATCTTTGCTTACCAGTGAGAATATTGACCTCCTGGTACACGTGTCGGCAGTTTCCCACAAGGTCAGTATGTTCACGTCTAATTTACACTATTCCCTTCTCATTTAGAACAAAAAAAATGAGATGTCTGGCTCCTCTGTCAGCTACAGCAAAAGAGGCATGGAGGTCCAGAGCCCATTGGCTGGATGGGAGGTGGAAGTCTTGCACCAGGCAACTGGAGCCCAGAAGATAATTGATTTCTGAAGGCTCCTCCTTCATATGATCTAAAATGCCTGCATGGGAGGTCTTCTGTTGGCATAGGACTGAAAATACTAGTTTCATGCCGGCACACCTTAGCCCAACTTCAGCCCGTCTCAGCAGCATGCTGCTGACAAGATGGAAGCTCTTTTGTGAGGACAGGTCCTTGGCAAAAGTAAGTGGGGTGTTTTCACACCACAATAACCAGGACATGTGGTTAAGCCCTAAAATGGCATTTAAAATAAAAATCAACAGAGAGCTACTAGATCACCAGGAAGAGCACATATAGGTAGTCAAGATTTGCAGAGAATGTATCAGGAAAGCAAAAGCTCAGAATAAGCTGAAGTTAGCAAAGGATCTCAGGAATAACAAAAAGAGATTCTTTGGGTATGTTTAAAATAAAAGAGGGAAAAAAACAGTATACCAGCTGCTAACTGAAGATGGTAAATGGTAATAGATAACAAAGGCAGAACTATTCAAGTTCTATTTTAGCTCAGTCTTCTCTGAGAAAAGAATATGTGTTCCACCACGGAATTATGAAGAAATGGTGGAAGGAACAGGTTTCCAGTTCAAGCTTGTGAGAAATATTAGTCAGATACTGACCTTGAACGAGTTCAAATCTCCAGGGCCAGATGGATTGCATCCTAGGGAACAAAAGGAAATTGCTGAAGATCTGGCCAAAACTCTGAAAACCAGGTGAAATAACAGATGACTAGAGGAAAGAATACAGTGTCCTTATAGAAAAAAGAACTGCAGACCAGTCAGTCTGATACTGATACCTGTGAAGATTTTGATTTTAAAGCAATCAATTTTTAAGCACCTTGAAAATAATATAATAAATACTAGAAGTTAGTGTGGATTTATCAAGAACAAGTCTTGCGAGACTAATTTATTTTTTACCAGGTAGCTTCCTTTGTAGACTGTGGGAATGCAGTAGACATAACGTATTTTAACTTTAACAAAGAATTCACCATGTACTTTGTGACATTCTGATTAGCAAGTTAATTAAGTATCAGCTGAATGACACATCTGTAAGATGGATCTACAGATTATTTGAAAACCATTCTCAAAACTGAAGTGACGTTCATTTCTCAAACTGAAGTGAGGTACAAAAAGGGATACCACAAGGCTTAGTCCTAGAGTATTTTCATTAATATTAATGAGTTGGATGAAGAAGTGGAAGGGATGCTTATGAAATTAGTAGATGATGTAAATTGATGGGATAGTTAATACTCTATAAGACAGAAAGAAAATTCAAAATGATCTTGAGGTAACAGAGAAGTGAATTAAAAATAACATTCAGAGGAGAGGTTCCTTCTACAGAAAGGTTTGCAGCAGGAATCCTGATCTAATTCTACTGTCATACAGAAATAACTGTGCTGTCTCATTACAAGAATGCAAACAAGTTTATTAAAGCAAAACCCTAATAGTGCTCTCACTACCAAGCAATGCAGTTGCCATTTACATAAGAATGGGGCTGATCTGTTTAGATAGATGGAGGCGTTGTTGTCTGCTCCCACAGGATGTATTACCACAAAAATGCTGAATACATCTTTCCTAGAATTTGCAGGGTGAGTTGCATCAGGGACTGAGAATGATGTTACCTTGCTTGTTTATATGAATAATGCCTCTGATGCTCTCCAGGGTGATCTGAATGGATTAATTTCAAAGAACTAAAGACTTGAAGCAACCTTGGAAAGATATTCTAAATAACTGATGTGGCACCATCATTCTGTTACCAACTAGCAGTCATGTATTTGATCCAAACCCAAATGCGTACCCCACTGTAACTTCAATAGAACTGAAAACAAAGGAAGGTCAACAGTCTTATTTGTGAATTCTGTCCAGCAAAGAAAAGAGACACAGGTTTCCATGGAAAGCAAAGGCACTCCCAAAGGTGCAATGTGAGAAGAATGAGTAACTGGCACCATCTCGTAGGCAGCTGAACAAATAATATTATTACAATAGTAATTGCCATAAAATGTAGAAGCCTCTGAACCAGGAGAAGGCTGATAGTGTCTTGGTCCCAAAGAGGACTCATGAAGTCAATGATAGAATGTCTTCTTGAATGGCTTAAAGATCTCTGCATGATTCAAATTCAGGAGGATCTTAGAAAGAATAAGGTTTGAGATAGCTGAAAGTGTAAGCCTAATGTATTGTATGGAACTGAGAAAGGGTAATTTGGACATGGTCCTGAAGTGGAAAATGAAACAGCCACCAGGAGTCAATGTGAAATAGTATTTAAGAAACTGAACTAGGAGTGGGAAGTTCTAGGTTCAAGTCCACCCTTAGGGACAGTCACTTTCTCTCAGCGTAATCTGTCTCACAGGACAGATGGATTTCTCTGTGTAAGCTATATGTTGCTCCTGGAAAAAAAGGCAAGAAATAAATCTAACAAATAAAATAAATAAATCATTTATATAAAGATGTAGACACTGTTGTATGAAATAAACCATGACAGCCATCATGCCAACCAGGAATAAATCTTACTGAAACAAAACAAACATTAAAAAAGATTCATCCCCCTTGACCCAATAAAGATTTTCTAATTATTTACAGTTAGGCAGCATTGATCTTATTCTCTCTCAAGTATTTTTCACTGTGGTCAGAAATTCTGGTAGGACTGGAACAACAGCAGGAATGCAAAGTAGATTAAATGAAAGATCAGGAAAATAATATGATAGCACTTTTCAAGTGCAGAAGAAACTTAAATCCAATTCTCTGTTCTCACAGTATACAGGACTAAGAGTAATGGTCTAAAATCAGTTCATGTTAAATATTAGGAAAATCTTTCTAACTGTAAGAGCAGCTCAACAGAACAATTACCAAAGAAGGTAATAAGCTCCCTTTTGGTTGAATTATTCAAATGGAGGCTGGATAGCCACCTGCTGGGGATGCTTTAATTTGCATTCCTGTGCTAAACAGGGGATTACACCTTGATGATATATACAATTCTGTGAAAGGCAAGGTTCACACATCATGGTACACCAAGGTTGCTTTGTCTACGGCTTATTGAAGAAGCTGCAATGGTGAGGTGGCTTATTCATAGTACATAATAAGCTAAAACCAAACAAATTACATTATGACTTAGCATAATGTGTGAACCCAACCAAAATCTCTATGAGAAATAGAATGAGTGCTACCTCTCAGGATAAAGCTTTACAGTATTCCAAGAATTCACTCCACCAAGGCATAGAGCACATGTGAGAAACTATACAAAGAGATAATTAAAAGTGTCGTAGTTATACCACACTAAATACCCACTTCAAAAGAGACCTCAACAATAGACAATGGCGCAGTTTCTATAAGTACAAATTCTATGAAGTATGAGGTATACTGCTACATATTTCTACATAAAGAAAGATCAAAAGGCTTTCTAGTCCAAATACAACTGAAGCCTTTTGTGAAGCCCTTCAACATGTAATAAAGACAGGAACTTTTTTTCTTCACAAAAACATATTAAGGTAGATGGGATTAAGAGATAGTACTTGGACCAAAACCACCCAGTGAACTCCATAACTAAGTGGGGACTTGACCACTACGCTGGCTCTCAGACCTAGCCAAACAGAGGTTGTGTGAATAAGCAGTTCTAGAATTGGCAATTGGACTGATGGCCTGCACTACATGAGGTTTTACTCTCTTGCAGCTGCAAATGTTTTGGGAGAGGATGCTCTTTGATCTAAGCTCATCACTAGAGGCTGAGTGACAGAAAGTGCCTTTGCTCAGCTTCATTTGGTACCTTAGGTTCGATCATACTTGGATACAGATAGCCAAGTCACAACAACCCACACTCACATTAATCTTTGATTTGGTTATTTTTCTTTTCATTTAGAATTATTATAATTTCAAGAAAAAAAGAAAATTAGTAAAACTGGCACAAATTTTTAAATTGATGCTCCTCTTTACATACATTTTATTGTGATTATTTTTCACTGTTTCACTGCCTTGAATTTTTTTAGAAATGGGATATAAATGGGAAAAATGAAAAAATGACATTGGCACTTCTAGCTATATTTTTAATAACCTTGATTTCAGGAAAGATAATGACAGTTTTCTTTTTAGGAAGACAGACACAGTACTTTCCACAAGGTTTGCATGAAACCACCATCCTCTTTAAAATGCAGCTATTCTTCTACCAATCAAAAATCTTAACTAGGATTTACATTGTCTCTTGTAAGATATTTCCTTTGCATTTTGATATGAGATAATAAAACAATGACTAGACCTAGCAAATGAGAGAAAAATAGACTCACTGCAGAGAAAGGTAAAATCCTATTGAGTTACAAAACAAATTTTGAGCACCATTAAAAATCTTCAAAAATCAGTCTAAATTACTGACCTAAATCCTTTCCCGAGAGCTTTTGCAGACCATTAGCTATGATCAAGCAAGGGTACTTCTTGAACAATAAGTTCTGGATGCTGAATAGCAAATGGGTTAACCTTAGTTTTTAATGTTAGATCCTAGAAATGGAATCTTGCCACCTTGGAACTCCCAAATCATCACAAAGCCTTCTCTCAAGCTTGATTTCACATCCTCTCTTCTGCTCTGCTGGAAGGCAGATTTACAATGAGCCCATAAAAGGATGTACCTGCCCTTGTGACTCAAGGACAGTTGATAGAAATGGAATGTCTTTATATAATGTTAATTCTAAAGGGATCTACATAATTATAATTATGCTCATTTTAGTAAACTTTCAAGGGCACCTAGATTAATTCCTCATCCTTTTTACACAGCCAAATTCTTTGTGCAGCATGTAGAGTACAGCAATAATTGGTAAGAGAATATGTCAAAACCAGTTTCTCTCCAGCTATAGCACTTATTCTCTATTGCTTTTATTTTACAATCTATTTGCTACGCACTGTATTATTTACTATGTAATGCAGTACTGAATTACTGTCTGGACTTTTTTAGTTGTTGTAGGCCTTTAGCTATAACAAAGAATTCATTCATTCAAAGTAAGAGCTGGCCTAAGCAGAAAGATGGCTCAGGAATGTACTATGATCCTCATCTGCTGAAGGCAAGAAAATAACTATATTAGCAATACAAGACTTGAACATTTTTGTTTAAACTTTCATTAAGTGGGATCATTCTTAACACTAATTATACAAGAAGGTTTATACAATACATGTATTGTGGCATAAACTTTCACGGACTATGGTTCATCAAATGCATAAAGTGTTACCCAAAATTGATAGGTATAATACATGTGCTAGACAGAACAGTGGAACTGAAAAAATTGAAATTAATTTTTAAAAAAGGACAGAAGATTCTTCTACTACTTTCTAGTATAAAACACGTCATTATACTTGTGTTGGAGGGAGGAGTTTCTATTATTTGTAGGAGTTTTCTACTATATATTTTATCCATCATGTAGGTGACAACTCTTGGAACAAATGTCTATTTGAATTTCAGAACATTGTAACATTGTAACATTCAGTATACAAGAGAAGCAGATAAAAATAAATATAATTTAAGTATATAGAATTTTTTTCTTAATAAAAAGCAACAAATATATTTTACAAAACAAGCTCAGTAAGATCAGATTTGATTTTTTTTCTTTGCTACTAAAGTTTTTAAAAAAATATTTCATAAAAACAAGTGAAATTGCAATGATAACAGATAAAATATACTAAAACGTATCTCAGCCATATTTCAAATTTCCTTCAAGCTCTAGTGATTCTTCATACTGTTTTTGGTCATCATAGAAAGGCCTTCAGAATTCATATTTTGTTTCTCTACAAAAATTATATCTGCACAGGTATCTGAAGTAAACAAATTTGTGTAAATCAAATGATTTTTTATCAATGAAAATAATGCACCCAACAAATATTCAGACTACTTGTGTTAATTGATTTGTGAGAATATCAAAACCATAATAGTTAAGGAGAACTAGAAGATTTCAGTTTTGTTCAAAAAATAAAAGGAATCTAATTAAAAACATTAAAATAAATAGTATTGTCAACAGCAGATTTCAAAACCAAAAAAGTTGCTTTCTGCCTTCATTTGTTTTAAAAGCAAACCAGAAGGTGGTGCTGTTTGCTTACTATATATGATGGTTTAGTTTTTATTAGGCTAAGATTAGTCCAATTCATATTGCAAATTACTTATAGAATATTTTGCCCTGACTTAATAATATGCATACTAGGATTGCATCAAAATGTCATCTGTTCCGATTATTGACCTAAAAATATGCATTTTGAGGAGGGAGTATGATTTTTGAGCTTGTTTGCTGCTTAGTTGTTTCCAACCTGTTCCCACTGTTTTAGATTCATTAAGATTTCACTCCATTTCGATGATGCCAAAAAACAAGAATCAGTTAACATTACCTTCTAGATGGTGCTGAATTACAATTCTCAGTATCCCTAGCCAACATGGTGAGCAGTGCTGGGAATGATGGCTCAAAAACACCTACAGGGACTTCAACTATGTAATTAATTGGATGATGTAGTTCATTAAAGGTAGCTAATACTAATTAGGAGTACATGTAATATTTTATGATGATCAACAAATTGAATAACTGAATAAGAATTTAATATGTGGCCCTGATTTTATATGGGCTAACATTTTCGCCTTTTCTGCAAAATGGTCAATGTCAATTTCTTTGGTCATTTTCAGATTGTGCCTTTTTCTTTCATCTCACCTTTATAAATGTAATTATTATTTTTTTAAAAAGTCTTTTCCACTCCTGAATACAAGGCCCAACTTTAACCAAACACCCCGTGCATTTTAATAGGAATATAATAATTATTTTACTGAAAATCAAATGGTTCCACTAGGTGGCTAAATTCCTAATTTAGTAAGATGGCATTGATTGAAGTCTTTTTAAAAGAGTGATTCAGACTGGGACTTGGCGGGGGGGACTGTTCTTTTGACTGTTTGCTCCTTTCCTGTTATTTTAAATCAACTCAGCTCCATCCTCCCGCTGTTTGCACTGAGAAAAAGAGCTCCCACTCTTACTAATGGACCTCTTTGCCAACACCTCTGAAGCTGCTATTTAGTTTTAAAAAGCCATACAGTTGCTATTAGAACTAATGGTATCTTGTTTAATAGAATCTTAGGTTGCATAATGCAAGCAGAACAAGTAACAAGGTAATGCAGGAACTCTGGTGTCTCTTCTTACATTAGACATTACCAATGAATATAGTCAGGCTAGTCAGAGAGTTGCAGGAGACACAAATGCTTTTATAATCATAGGTCTGACCTGTAAAATTAGAATGAAGTAATCAATAGGTTTGTTTCGCTGATAGAGATAGTATTCAGGGGCTTTCTTATTCTTCTCATCATACTTGAGCTCCTGAATCACATTGGGATGCTTTAGAAGCCTCAGAAGGATCTTTTCAGACATCTGGGATGGGCCAAATGCTTCAACCTCTGAAAACATAAAAACAACTTGATTGATAACCTATAGTACATTTGTTAAGACATATGCATTGCCTATTGGCATATAATTAAAATAAATACAAAAATAGAATGGCAGATATCTCAGGCCAACACATTTTTGTTAACTGATGATCTCCATCCCGTGCCATGTACACTGTGTCCAGAATGTAAAGAATATACATATCCCATAGCTCATTGCTTAGACTGCCCAAGAATTTATCAATCACCTGGGCAATATCGGACTGCAGGTACCTTGTCCTAAGAGGTCTGAGATCAGAAGTGGAAGAAGCAGTTAAAGAAGACATCTTTCTCCCATTTTCTGCTTGCTACTTTACTTCTGAAAATTGGGCCTAAAATATTTTTCCTCCCAAAAGGAAAAAGGGACACATATAAAAGAAAAAGCAAACTGGGGAGAGGGAAGGGAGAGAGGAGGGGAAGGACTATCTTGAATGGAAAATAGCCAGTATTCAGTCCTCCCACACTTTTGCTTCCTTCCAGCAACTGTTTTGATTAAATGAAGGGCAAAAAAGTTACACGGATTTCCAAGTGGAATCTAGTTTGGCTTTAGTCTAATCAAGTCTACAAGAGCAATGTGGTGCTGCTCCTTACCCTGATCTTCTAGAACAATTTTAAACTGTACTTGCCCTATTTCTGTTACACCCTCAGAATTTCTATCTATACTCTGAACATAGAGTATAAGAGAAGAGGACACAATATACAATTCTCTAACACAGCTTCCCTGCCAGTTCCACTGCCCCATCCGTTGTTTCATCGATCCCGTTAACAAACTAGCAGTTGGACCCTAATGTGATCAAACTTTAACAAACCACACTTGCCTGTTGCTAAGAAACGGTGCATTGCCAAAAGCAACTGTGGTGAGATTTTAACCTTCATTTCGCTATCTGTCTGTTTGAAGGCAGAGAAGTCCTGCTTTCTCTCCCGATGGGCTACTTTCTTTTTGGTTTTATTATCAGCTAGAGATAAAACAAATAAAATATTCATTAGATTTGGTTCCAATGTTTACATTGCGAGACATGTTAAAACAGCAACATCATTCCATTTTCAACTTTGGTACACAATTATTACAAGCTGTTGTTATTTGCACAAATAGAAGTTCACACACCTCTGAGAAGATCCACCCATCTAATAAAAAGTTTGTGATGTCATGTAACTTTTGATAAAGGTCTCTACCTTTTTAAAGCAAGTTACTGAGTAAATGAATATGCAATCTGTTTTCATTAACTAAGCATGTAAAGACCTGGCAGAGTGCTCCCACTGCTGGTTTTCTGCATCAGAAATTATGGCAGTGAGGCATAAATTATGGCACTGAGGAAATGCTCCTGGCTTTACAAATAATGACAACATTGAGGAAAAGAGGTGATGGGTAGAAAACAATCCAACATTCCTTTGAATAGTTATAGACAAAAAATAATTGGCATTGTTTGTTTCTTTTGTACAACACATATTTCATGCTAATAAGTAACCTGCATTAAGTTTAATGGAGTTATGGGATGAGATGAAACTGTTGGCTATCTTTCATGTACAAAATAAGGAGAGGTTCATATAATCACAGCTGAAGATATAAATAAACTGAAATTCTTCTAACAAGAGGAAAATGTTTAATGAAATGAGTGTTGCAAATGTCTGATGATTGTATATAAAAGTGATAAGCCAATATGACATTAAGGAAGCTATGCTGTAATAGGCTGATATTTAAAATACGGCTATAGAATAGGTCTGTTTTCTAGGAAGTAACATCAAATCAATTACCAGATAGGCCCATATAGCCATCACAGAATACCTGCACTTCAGTATAGCTCTTCTGATGTCCAATCCATTTATTCAACCAATTTACTAACTGTCAGATATTTGGCTGAGTGGAATAAAATTAGCAATCTTACTCTACCCTCTTTAAAGTTATAGTGGAGTATGAAAGATAAACGTGAACCCATTTCTTATGCCTCTTACTTTTCACAGAAGTAAGATATGCAAAAAATGGAAACTGATATAAAGTACAGATTTCTTTTTCTTTTTGCAAGGTATATCAATGAAAACGACAGTAAAAAATAAAGAGAATTATATTCTCTACTCTGTAAAGTTTTACAATTCATTCTTTTTAGACATAATCCAAAGTTTACTAAATATTTAAGACTATTACAATGAACTACATGCAATGTATAAATCATATAGGCTTTCGATATTTAAAATGTCACAGGTACAATAGATATTTTGTAATTTAATTCAGTAATAGACAGAAAGTTTAGAAGATAACCTGCTATATACCCTGTAGTGCAGATTACATTTTAAAATGCTTACAAGAACTGTATTTGAAGGCCTGTCCTAAACAGATTTTGTCAAACATATTTTTCTCAGGAAGTTTATGATTTTGAATTTTTTGTGGAGTCCCTGAGGTTCTCTGAGCTTGGTTGTTTTCTTGCAAACGTTTTGTTACCCAGCTAGGGAAAAACTTTCAGGCTAAGGGTGTAGGAATGGAGGAGTTTACTTACCAAGATATGAAATTTTTTTAAGAAACAACCAAGGCTAGAGAGACCCACAGGCCCCC